TAGGGTGCTATAAACTTACCATGTTTGACTCAGATGAAAGTACTGTTTTAGGAAGGCAGATGTTTTGAAATATTAGAAACCTTTGTTATTGTACATGTTAAAGCATAAACTGGTCTTTTAAAAAATATTTCATTTATTTATTTGACACAGAGAGAGAGAGTGAGAGAGAGAACAAGAAGGAGAGGAACAGAGGGAGAGGGAGAAGCAGGCTCTCAGCAGAGCAGGGAGTCTGATACAGGACTCAATCCTAGGACCCTGGTACCATGACCTGAGCTTAAGCCAGACACTTTACCAACTGAGCCACACAGGCACCCAAACTGGTCTTTTTAAAATAGGAATATGGGGAATGCTTATATTGAAGAGTTGGGGAAACAATAAAATTCACTGCCTACCTGAAGATTGTTTATCTAACTCTACTGTTTTGTTCCACAAAAGGCAGAATTTTGCTTATAACAAATGTGTCATTGAAACTAAGGTATGCTAAAACTTTCTTAGAGTAATCAAATTCTCATATGCTGCAAAAGAAGTTAGATGCTTTAGAGTGAAATTATATGAAATAAATATTTTTTAAAAACCCACATAATTAGCCTACCACATGTGTAGTGGGACCCTTCCCAAACCAAGGTGACAAGGGTAATTCACTATCCATAAGGTCTGAGTGGCTGTCTGGTTAGATTTGGGACTGCATCAGGAAGCATTCTGTCCTCAGATACTCACTCTGCCAGTTTGTCTTTAGTACCAAACTCTGGAGTCATATGTGGAGAGAAACCTAGAATTCAAATAAATCCAGATGAATTCTCTGGAAATATATTCAACATGTCTTAAACTTTCTACAGTTTATAAGGGACATGGCTTCCAATAGTCACCAAGACTCAGTGGTGCAAGAAGTGGATCTTCATCCCTCAGGAAAGCAGCCTGAGAATTTCAAAAGCTGATTTAGCTGCTTAATGATAGCTCAGAAGGAAAAAAAAAGCAAAATGGTTTTCATATTCCTGCAAAACCTAATACGAGTATATAGGTCCTAGGAATCCTCCCTTTATTTTATGCATATGCCTGAAGACAATTTGGTTCAGAGGAACAGAATACAAACTTATATGACAATGTGAAAATCTATAGGTCTTTGAAATCTTTATGTAATTATAACCCCAAAGACATTTCTAGACAGGTCTTGGCCCAAGAATTGCAAAGCCATTGTCACATTAACGTGCTTGGTGCTCTTAGGTATAAACTTTCTGCAGTTGCCTCTATGGGAAAAAATTGGCCCCTTTTCCCTGAAGACCTCAAAAGGCTATAGAGTATGACTGCCCTGTGCTCCAGCTTTCTGAAGAATAGGAGGGAAATTGTAGCCTATAACAGCATCAGGTTAGTGCAGGAAAAGCTGAGATGAAGCAGGACAAGGAGCCAAGATGACTAGTTTCAGTCCTTTCTTAGGAAATTATTGAGATCTTTGGTGTGCAGGGCAGGTAGATAAATGAAATCAATGATTTGTGATATTTTATTGGTTTGATTTTAGCATTGATGAATGAGCTGCTGGAAAACAGTAGACAAAAAAAGAAGAAGAAAAAAGAAAGAAAGATATAAACAGCTCTTCTCCATAATTTGGGAGGGAGGAAATGCACAAATAATGTGGAAAAATCAGATAAAGGAGCCAAGTACAGCAAAGTCTTTAATGTGTTTCCCATCTGATTCTTTCTCTGTTCACTGACTAGTCACAGGTGGTTTAGACTCAGCCTCATCTATCTGCCTGCACTGAAGCCAGTCCAGGCTTTCTCTTCCACATGCCAATTCATGCGTGTGAGGTTTTCGCATGCAAGAAGGGTCAGGAAATCAAATTTTATAATATTTAATCTGTTTCAGATCAATCTACTCAGCCAAAGGATAACAAAAATCCTCTGAGAGATTGTTGGTGGGATTAAGCTCATTGTATTACTTAATGTTCATAATACTGCATATTTTGACACACGTATTATTAGCTTTACTATGTAGATAAAAACACAGAAGGTTTTAAAGGTTGAATTACTAGCTCAAATAGCCAGTAACAACTGGAGCAAGAAAATGCTTTATTCTAGTTTCCTGCTTCCTTTGGAGCTTTAAATGTTTAATAACCCTAAAGAATTGAGAGATTCTAGCACTTCTTCTTAAAGGACATGATAACCCAGTGATTTAGAGCTTCTCTACACCACAGTAATGTCCAGTGTTGACCAAGCTGTGCTCCAGAGCTAGCCTGCACCAATCCATGCCAGAAGACAGATGGTCATATCTCTATCTTTCTCCTGTACACACATGTGGAAAACCCTTAGAGAAGGATACCAGTTAATTCACATCCTCAACTGTTTAGTTCATCCCTTTCTGTATACTAGTTCTGCTGCATAGTTGTAATTATGGTGAAGTGCAAATCATCATTTTTTATGGACACTTTGTTTTTTTAGATATATTTATTTATTTAAGAAGGAGAGAGAGATAAAGAGCATGGTGGAAGGCTAGAAGGAGAAGGAAAGAAATTCGCTGACTTCACCCTGAGTGCTGAGTCCAGCAAGGGTGCTCTATCTCAGGAACCTGAGGTCACCAGGATTGAGTCCAATCCTGGATTCCGATGCTCAACCAACTCCACCACCTCCAAGGGGCTCCTCTTTGGGACACCCTCGTTCCACATGTTTAGAAAAATTTTCTTGTAATCCAAGGTCATGAAGATCTTATGTTTTACACCAACATTTTTTAACTTTTACATTTCATACACACACACACACACACACACACACACACACACATATATGAAATATGTAGCTGTAAGTCTGTATAGCTCTAAGTCCATTTTAAATAAATCTATATAGTTGTGATATATAGATTAAAGTTGTCTCTGCTTTTTTTGTTTTGATTTGTTTTGTGCAGTAAAGATGTTCAATATTCCCACCCTCATTTTTTGCAAAAAATATTTTTTTCACCACTGAATTGACTATAGACTTTTGCTGAGATTAGTGGACCATATATGTGTGGGTCTACGACTGGGCTCTCTATTCTGCTTTGTTGGTTTTCTCAGGTATCTTTATGAAAATACCACATCATTTTGAACACAGCAGTTTGGTAACATAGCTGGAAATCAGATCATGTAAGTTCTCCAAATTCTTTCTCTTTTAATGTTGTGGGACCTAATTTAGGGCCCTCATAATTCCATATGAGTTTTAAAGCTGTTTGGAAAAGGTTTGAATATGTTCCTATAATTATGCTTGAGAAGGTGTGAATCTGGAAATGCCTTTGGGGAGAAATCACTTCTTAATAATGTTGAGACATCTGTCACAAACAGTATTTCTTCTCTATATTAAGGTGTTTATATTCTCTTAAGAAACGTTTTGCTTTCAGAGTACATTTTCCTTTTATCTCTCTATATTTATTCTTTTTTTTTAAAGTATTTTTATTAACATAATGTACTATTATTCCCAGGAGTACCAGTCTGTGAATCGTCAGGCTTACACTTTCACAGCACTCACCATAGCACATACGCTCCCCAATGTCCATAACCCAACCACCCTCTCCATAAGCTACATTTATTCTTAATTATTTTAAAATTTTAAGACGTTACAAATGGATTTTTAAATTCAATTTCTGTTAGTTACTAGTACAAACTATGAAATTGAACTGTGTATATATTGATGTTATGTCTTGAAATTATGCTAAACTCACATTACAAAGTAGGAGAACTAAAATTGTCTGTACTCAGGGTCAAATGATTACCTACACAAAAGTTCTAATGTAATAGTGTTATACACACTTGCCTCCAAAGTAGTAATAAAAGAATTTTAATTATTATAGTTATGTAAAAAAGAGATCACTAGTTCAGTGTTGTAAATTGTAACAATATAGAGCATGGGTAAGAACTTCAAGGAAAATCATTAACTATTATAACCTAAAGGAATCTTGGTTCTGCCCTTAATTAGCATCTTGATCTTGTCAGGATCTTTAACTGCTCTGTCTTTCTATTGCATAATGTATAAAATAAGTATAAAAGCAATCGCAGGAATTATTTTACAGGTTTGTGGTGGGGATTAAATCAGCAAATGTCTGCAAACACATTCAGAGCCACTAAATATTCAATTTAATAAATATAGTTATCATTATTATTACCTTTAACCTAAGTCTCTGACACTGTTTTCTCATCTCACAATGCATGGAATAATGCCAGCCACAAAGGATATTATCAGTATTTCATGGGATCCTGTGCACAGAGCACTTGCTACTATGCCATAAATATAGCAATCAGTTATTAATACATACAGATCCATATCTATATCTATATCTATATCTATATCTATATCTATATCATCTATATATATAATAACATTATTGTATTTAGACAAATGCATTATGATTATTTATGGTCACTTTTGTATATGTTCTTTACAGAGCCCCCACCGATGCCCTGTAAGTCTTCTGCTAAGTATTATAAAGAACAGCCTAACTGGGGTTTCTTTCTCTGGCTTTTGTGCCCTGCCTAAACCTCACCCCACTTCATCCAAGACACAAGTAGACCCTTATTCCTGCTTCCTCATATTCTTCTTCAGTTTTCCATCGATAGTCTCAATTTCTGCCATCATTCCCCTGTTCCTAAGAAAAAAGGGAAAATTCCTTAACCTTGCATTCATAGCTTTTACATCAGAAACTACCCTCCCTTTTCATACTCACCCACCTGCCATTATGTGTAGGATCCACTACTTCATGTTAGGGTTAGTCACCTCAGATGATGACGTGTACACAGATGACCTCTTGCCTCTCTGTTTACAAAGTGCCCCTTGGCCACACTCAACAGAAACTTCATCAAGGAGATAATTTTAGTAATCAGTAAAACTTATTTTCTGTCTCAAAAAAACGTCATGAGATTCCACAACTCACTAAAATCTAGGTATTTTTTTTTATTTACTAGATTAAGAAGCTTAATAAATTCAATGTCACATTAAACAAAAGTTTTTTTTTTTTTCAGGTAATGCTATTAATCATAAGATGACATAATGGAGAATAAGAACAATGTGACAGAGTTTGTTCTACTGGGGCTCACAGAGAATCCAAAGATGCACAAAGTCATATTTGTTGTCTTTTTGGTCACCTACATCATCTCTCTGGTGGGAAATGTGCTTACTGTGGTCACTATCACTGCCAGCCCATTATCAGGTCCCCCATGTACTTTGTCCTTGCCGATCTGTCCTTCATTGATGCCTGTTATTCTTCTGTTAATACCCCTAAACTGATCATAGATTCACTCTGTAAGAAGAAGACCACCACATTCAATGCACGTATAACCCAAGTCTTTGGGGAACATTTCATTGGAAGTGCTGATGTCATCCTACTTACTCTGATGGCCTATGATCGCTATGTGACCATTTCTAAGGCATTGCACTACAAAACCATCATGAATTGGCAGGTTTGTGGCCTTCTAATGGGAGTGGTGTTCATGCAGCCATACAGATCCTCTTTATCATCCCTTTATCCTTCTGTGGCCTGAATATCATAGATCACTTTATGTGTGATCTGAACCCTTTGCTCAATCTTGCCTGCACTGATACACACACTCTAGGGTTCTTTGTTGCTGCCAACAGTGGTTTCATCTGTCTGTTAAACTTTCTCCTCTCGATGGTCTCCTATGTAGTCATTCCGTGTTCCCTAAAGAACCACAGCTTGGAGGCAAGGTGCAGAGCCCTCTCCACCTGTATCTCCCATATCACGGTGGTTGTCATGTTCTTTGTGCCCTGTGTATTTGTGTACATGAGACCTGCAGCTACTTTATCTATCAATAAAGCAGTCGCAGTGTTCTACACTATGATAACACCAATGTTAAACCCCTTAATCTATACTCTGAGAAATGACCAGATGAAAACTGCTATTAGGAAATTATGTAGTAGAAAAGTTATTTCAGGGGCACCTGGGCGGCTCAGTCATTAAGTGTCTGCCTTCAGCTCAGGTCATGATCCCAGGATCCTGGGATCAAGCCCCACATTGGGCTTCCTGCTCCGTGGGAGGCCTGCTTCTCCCTCCCCCACTCCCTCTACCTGTGTTCCCTCTCTCACTGTCTCTTTCTCTGTCAAATAAATAAAATCTTAAAAAAAAAGTTATTTCAAGTGAGAAATAAATATGCTTGACGCTCAACATCGATGCAATGGAAACAAAGGTCAAAAGGACATTTTGGATGGACTTAGCAAGGAATACTTACTGTATAAAGAAAATAGTAAGCTGCTAGGAATGACAGATTCTGCACTGAGTGGAAAAGGAGAGTGTGGAAGAAAGAAAAAGCCTAGTCACAGACTATGCTACATTATCTCTCTCTCTCTCTCTCTCTCGTGCACACACACACACACACACACATTCACTATCTATAATTATACATCAAGGATGATGTAACATGTTGCCTATAAAATTATGGTATTAAAGGGCATTAGGATTATAAAAGCAAAGAGCCATTTGACCTCTGAGGGGTAACAAAGGCTCTCTGAAGTTTTCAAATTTCCTTGTAGCCTAAAGTGTCATTTTGTAATGCTCATGTCAGCCATCTTAGGCTGCTAAACGTTCAGAAAAAAATGATGACTCAAATAAATGAACATCCTATTATTTAAGAGGAATTTCTATTTATAAAACAAAGTCACACTCCATAGAGTACTTGACTACCTGTCCAAAATATTTTCAACAAGGCACTATAATGTCTGGGGTATAAAAAATATTGATTGAGTGAATAATGTTATGAAGGAAGAGAGTTCTAGTCAGGAAAATGTAGAGAAAATCAATAGTACCAGAGACCAGGGACTTATTTCTTACATTTCACTGGTCTAGGCTCTGCCAATTCTAGCTAAATCTCTTTGAGAAAGTACAATTTTTTAAACTCTTACTTAAACTGTGTAATAAGAAAAAATTGAAACTGGGATCCTTAGTGTTGGAGAAAATAGCTTACCTTGATACTCTCCCTGCTCTCAGCAAGATGTCATCATCATATGAATTTGATCTGTTCATGTCATTTTTCTCTGTTAATTACTTACTTCTTGGTAAAATTTCATTATGAATTGTTGTTTTAAAAAATATATACTGCTATCTACACACAAAACAACTTCAGGGTAAATATATGCCATTCATTTATATTTGATCATATATCTCTCATTCATTCACCAATAGAAATTTCTTGAGCCCAACAAATGTATCAGACACACTGATGGTTGCTGGTCTTCAGAGCTGAGTCCAGAGGAACTAGGGTCTTGCCTTCAGAAAGTTTCAATCTACTGAGACACCCAGAGGGGAACAGAAAATGATAAGACCATGTTATAAATGGGCAGGTGGTGGCAGCACAGGGAGCAATGAAAGCCTGTTTGAGGGACACACGACAAAGACCAGGGGGTCAGGAAAATTTCCTACATGAAAGCATATCAGAAGGGGGCACAAAAATTGAAGGGGAATCATCAGAGTGAATAAGCACGTGTTCTTCTGAGAGGATTACTAGGAGAGGATGCATAACAAAAACCAGGGTGTGAAAAAGAAAAAATCTAATCGTTTCAATATGTTGTGGCTACTGGCTCATCTATTCATTCAATAATTATTATTGAGCTTCTACTGTGTGTAATAAGCCAGACACTGAGCTCTTAAAAGTCAAGTTAGTAAGACATGAAACGAGAAAGTTAGTGACTGGGAAGATCAAGAAGTGTTTCATATCTGTGATGGAGCTGAATGCCAAATACCATGGGGAACACATTGGAAGGGTTTTCATACCTTTTCATTGCCTGGAGCTCATTTCTCTTGGCAATGAACAATACGCCACTGTCTGATGTTGCAGTTTATCTAGCCTCACCTACTGAAGGACGTCTTGGCTGCTTCCAGTTGTATGGCCTATTGGGAGTAAAGATGCTGTTAAACATGCATGTGCAGGTTTTTTTTTATGGACATAAATGTTCAACTCCTTTGTGTAAAAATCAAGGAGTGGGATTGCTAAATTGTTTTAGTTCTGTAAAAGCTGACAAAGTGTCTTCCCAAATGACTGCACCGTTTTGCTTTCCCATCAGCAATAAATGAGAATTCCTGTTATTCCACATCCTCACCAGCATCTCTTGGTGATAGTGTCCCATATTTTGGCCTTTCTAATGGGTGAGTTGTTTAAAAAAAAAAAAAATCCTTTGAGTCATCTGCTTATCCAAAATGTGCAGATTAATTAATTCAAAAAGGCTCATGGAGTTGAAGCCAATTGGTCCAAACCTCACAATTAAAATATGACAGGTTCGGAATCTATGCCATGTTTGTCCTGTCATAGAGATATTGAGTCCCATCCATCACTGTGAATTCTGAGATCAAAAAAGTGTGCTCTGGTCAACTTATGACGAACTTTACATACAAAAGAGTTCTTACACAATGTTCGATTATTCCAAAAGCACAGGGTCATTACCCACAGTTTCTGAGGTATGAGCAATGGAGTCAGAATTGTCTGTTGGAAGGCTTTTTCCTTTTTTCTTCAGGCCTGAGGACTCACATTTTATAAGTATACCATTTACAGTTCAGAGAAACATGTGAATGCCAGTTTTGTGGGCGGGAAGGAGTGACATAACAGACATGTGTTCCCACATGATAAGGTAGCAAAGACAGAAAACAGAAAACCATCTCCAAAGAGACTGGAAAGCTGCTAAGGGAAGAAGAACTAGAAGGAATAAGTTTAAAAATGGGGTATAAACTCAGCTGAGGTGAGTGATAACTACATATGTTGTGAGAATTGTCACTCTTTGGTTCAGGATGGAACTGATGATCCAATTTTTATCACACTGACAGGTACTGCTGGGACATAATGAATCCATAAGCTTTGGTCAGAGATTATGGAATCTCAAGGACACCCCAGTTTATCTCTTGATTCATTTGTGAAGCCACATACTTCACAATTTCCAAAAGAAAATATTATCTTTTTTTCTTACTGTACTGTTTTAGAGGTTTATCACATTGTATTATTGGCAGTTTGTTCCTCTGTAGTAAGAATAGTGTGTCACTGTATGGCTCTACCATATTTTGTATATTTATTCTAGCCGATGGGCATTGGAATTTTGTCCAGTTAATGGCCCTAGTGAATGATGAAATGTGAACATTCATGTACAAGCCTTCTTGTGGACATAGATTATTATTTCTCTTCGACTGATACCTAAGAGTTGAATTGCTGACTTATACATCAAGTGTATTTTATTTTAATTTTTCCAAAAGATTTTATTTATTTATTTGACAGAGAGAGACAGAGCAAGAGAGGAACACAAGCAGGAAGAGTGGTAAAAGGAGAAGCAGGCTTCCCACAGAGCAGGAGCCCGATGCAGGGCTTGATCCCAGGAGTCAGACCTGAGCCAAAGGCAGATGCTTAACCAACAGAGCCACCCATGCGCCCCATGTTACATGTATTTTAACATATCAAGAAATTGTCAAGTGTTGCCAAAGTGGTAGTGCTATGTTATATTTCCACCAGCAATGTGTGAGAGTTTCTGTTTCCCTACAACATCACCCAAAACTGGCATTATCAGTCTTTTTAAATCTAGCATAGAGTTGTTCAAAATATTCTCTTATGAGTCATACTTTCTGTAGGGTCCATAAAAATAGTATTTTAATGTATATAACTATGTATGTGTGTATGCATATATATATTATGCATATGTCATATATACAATATAGAATTATATATATATATATATATATATATATACACACACTTCAATAACTGATATATTCACAGCATAGTAGAAAGTGTTCCCGACACAGGATCCCATTGAATACTGATAACATCCTGTGTGGTTGGTATTATTCCATCCATTTTAAGATGACTTAGAGACATTTTTAGAGACTTAGGTTGATGGTAATGATAAGAATAACTATATTTACCAAATTGAATATTTAGTGGTTCTGTATTTTTGCAGACATTTGCTGATTTAATCCCCACCACAAACCTGTAAGATAATTCTTGCTATTGATTTTATACTTAGTTTATACATAATGTAATATAAACATAGAGAAGTTAAGGATCCTGCCAAGATCAAGATGTTAATTAAGGGCAGAACCAAGATTATTTCAGATTATAATAGTTAATGATTTTCCTCCAGATTCTTATCCATGCCCTATATTGCTATACTTAACAACACTGAGCTAGTAATCTCTTTTTTATATAAACATAATAATTATAATTGCTTTAATACTACTTTGGATGCAAGTGTATATAACACTATTACATTAGCAGACTTGCACACAGACACACACACACACACACACACACACATCATTTGAATGTGAGTACAGACAATTTTAGTTCTCCTACTTTGTAATGTGAGTCTAGCATAATTTCAAGAAATAAGATCAATATATACATAGTTCAATTTCATAGTTTGTACTAGTAACTAACAAATAGAAATTGGATTTTAAAAATTCATTGTAGACACTGGCACCCAGATATTTGGGTCTAGTACCGAAAGTCATTTGCACAATTTGAATTGCTGCTCTTAGGGTCTTCTCTTCATTCACCTGGGACTATCTGAGGGCCCTGTGAGGAGAGGTGACAAGATTGTGGAGAAGTAGGTGGCGCTGTTTCAATCGGTCCCCTAAAGTGAGCTGATTATTTACCAAAGAACTCTGATCACCTATAAAATCAGCCTGAGATAAGAATTATACACTTCTGGATCTCTACAGGGCCAGAAGATGCCCGTGGACAGAAGTGTTCCAGAGTGCACCTTGCCTGTGCCATGACTGATACATTCAGCTACATCTCCCCTCAACCATCGCTCACCAAAATGATTAGGAGGAGGAATGCCCAACAGAGCAAAAATTCAGAGACTGTGCCCTCTCCGTCAGAGCTATTGGGTATGGACGTAAACAGTATGTTGGAAAGGGAATTCAAGCTAATAATTATCCAGAAAATGGCTAGGTAGGAGAAAGCATTTAATAACAAAATGGAATTGATTAGGGCAGGAATGAAAGCCACAAGGGATGATGTTAACAATGCTCTCATTGAGTTCCAATCTAATCTAAATTCTCTAACAGCTAGGGTTACTGAAGCAGAAGATAGAATTAGTGATCTAGAGGACAAACCAATAGAGAAAAAGATCAGGAGGAAGACTGGAACAAACAGCTTAGAAGCCATGAAAACAGAATTAGGGAAATAAATGATGCCATGAAATGTTCCAACATCAAGAATTATTGGAATCCCTGAGAGGGAGGAGAAAGGAAGAAGACTAGAGGATATAGTTGAACAAATTCCCCATGAAAATTTTCCCAATCTGGTAAATGGAACCAGCATTCGTGTCCTAGAGGCAGAAAGTTCTCCCCCCCAAGATAGTAGAATCTAGAAAGACCTCAAGACATCTGATTGTGAAAATGATGAATCATAATTTTAGACAGGAGCTCTTGAAAGCAGCCAGGGGGAAGAGATTCCTTATGTACAGAGGGAAGCCCATCACAATAACATCAGACCTGTCCACAGAAACATGGCAAGCCAGAAAGGGCTGGCAAGATGTATTCAGGGCACCAAATGAGAAGAACATGCAGCCAAGAAAACTTTATCCAGCAAAACTGACATTCAAAATGGATGGAGAGATAAAGAGCTTCCAAGACTGGAAAGGTTTAAAAGAGTATGTGACCACCAAGCCTGCACTACAAGAAATATTAAGGGGGGTTCTATAAAAAAGGAAAAATCCCAAGAATATCATTGAACAGAAATTTATGGAGACAATCTATAGAAAAAAGACTTCACAGGTAACACTACATCAATAAAAATGTATCTCTCAATAATCACTCTCAACGTAAGTGGCCTTAATGAGCCCAAGAAACGGGATGGGGTTGCAGATTGAATAAAATGACAGGACCCATCCATATGTTGTCTACAAGAACCTATTTTGAACCTAAGGATACATGCAGACTGAAAGTGAAGGGATGGAGAAGCATCTTTCATGCCACTGGGCCTCAAAAGAAAGCTGGGGTAGCGATTTCCATATCAGATAAATTAGATTTTAAACTAAAACTGTAGTCAGAGATACGGGACACTACATAATTCTTAAAGGGTCTATCCACCGCATTGAATGACACATTGGGTCTATCCACCGCATTGAATGACACATTGGATGAGATGGACCTTATAGATATATACAGAACATTCTGCCCTCAAACAAGAGAATGCTCATTCTTCTCAAGTGCACATGGAACCTTCTCCAGAATAGACCACATACTAGGTCATAAATCAGGGCTCAACTGATACCAAAAGATTGAGATTATTCCCTGCATATTCTCAGATCACAATGCTTTGAAACTGGAGCTCAACCACAAGAAAACGTTTGGAAGGAATTCAAACACCTGGAAGCTAAAGGCCACCTTGCTTAAGAATGCTTGGATCCACCAGGAAATCAAAGAAGATCTTAAACAATTCATGGAAACCAAATGAGAATGAAGACACTTTGGTCCAAAACCTATGGAATACAGCAAAGGCGGTCCTAGGGGGGAAATACATAGCCACCTGAGCCTCCCTCAAAAAAAGTTGAAAACTCCCGAATACACCAGCTGTCTTTATACCTTAAAGAAATGGAGAATCAACGACGAATTAAGCCAACTCCACACATAAGAAGGGAAATAAGATTAGAGCAGAGATCGATGAGGTATAAACTAGATATACAGTAGAACACATCAATGAAACTAGAAGCTGGTTTCTTGAAGGAATCAATATGATTGATAAAGCATTGGCCAAACTAATCCAAAAGAAAAGAGAGAAGGCCCAAATTAATAAAATTATGAATGAAAAGGGAGAGATCACAACTAACACCAAGGAAATAGAAACAATCATCAGAAGTTATTATCAACAGTTATATGCCAATAAGTTAAGCAACCTAGATGAAATGGATGCATTCCTGGAAAACTATAAACTTCCAAAATTGAAGCAGGAAGAAATTGACAACCTGAATAGACTGATATCTAGAAATGAGATTGAAGCAGTGATCAAATGAGTGCTGTGAAGTGTGTAAACCTGGCAATTAACAGACCTGTACCCCTGGGTATAAAATATATATTATAAGCTTATTTAAAAAAACAAAAACAAAAACAAAAACAAAAAAAAACCTCCCCAAAAAACCAGAGCCCAGGACCTGACGGATTCCCTGGGGAATTCTACCAAACATTCAAAGAAGAAATAACACCTATTCTCCTGAAGCTGTTTCAAAAAATTGAAGCAGAAGGAATACTTCCAGACTCTTTTAATGAAGTCAGCATGACCCTAATCCCCAAACCAGGCAAAGACCCCACCAAGAGGGAGAATTCCGACCAATGATAATGACTGTGGATGAATATGGATGCTAAGATTCTGATGAATACGGATGCTAAGATTCTCAAGATCCTAGCTAATAGGATCCAACAGTACATTGTCCACCATGACCAGGTGGGATTTATCCCTGGGATGCAAGGGTGGTTCAACATTCACAAATCAATGTGATAGAACAAATCAATAAGAGAAGAGAGAAGAATCACATGGTCCTCTCAATTGATGCAGAAAAAGCATTTGACAACATCCAGCATCCGTTCTTGATTTTAATGCTTCGAAGTATAGGGATAGAGGGAATATTCCTCAACCTCATAAAATCTATCTACGAAAAACCCACAGTGAATATCATCCTCAATGGGAAAAAACTGGCAGCCTTCCCTTTGAGATCAGGAACAAGACAAGGATGCCCACTCTCACCACTCTTGTTTTACATAGTATTAGAAGTCCTACCAACAGCGATCAGACAACAAAGAGAAATAAAAGGTATTCAAATTGACAATGAAGAAGCCAAACTCTCTCTCTTCACAGATGACATGATATTTTATAAGGAAAACCCAAAAGACTCCACCCCCAAACTACTAGAACTCATTCAGCAATTCAGTAACGTGGCAGGATACAAAATCAATGTACAGAAACCAGTTGCTTTCTTATACACTAACAATGAAAATATAGCAAGGGAAATTAGAGAATCAATTCCATTGACTATAGCACCAGGAACCATAAAATACCTGGGAATAAACCTATCCAAAGAGGTAAAGGACCTGTACTCGAGGAACTACAGAACACCCATGAAAGAAATCGAAGAAGACACAAAAAGATGGAAGACCATTCCATGCTCATGGATCAGAAAAATAAGCGTTGTTAAAATGTCTATACTGCCTAGAGCAACCTATAGTTTCAATGTCATTCCGATCAAAATTCCACGAGCATTTTTGAAAGAGCTGGAGCAAACAATCCTAAAATTTATATGGAATCCAAAGAGACCCCGGATTGCTAAGGAAATGTTGAAAAAGGAAAACAAAACTGGGGGTATCACATTGCCTGATTGCAAGCTTTACTAAAAAGCGGTGATCACCAAGACAGCATGGTACTGGCATAAAAACAGACACATAGACCAGTGGAACAGAGTAGAGAGCCCAGATATGGACCCTCAAATCTATGGTCAAATAATCTTCGACAAAGCAGGAAAAAATATCCAGTGGAAAAAGACAGTCTCTTCAATAAATGGTGCTGGGAAATTTGGACAGCTATGTGTTGAAGAATGAAACTCGACCATTCTCTTACACCATACACAAAGATCAACTTGAAATGGATGAAATACCTCAACGTGAGGCAGGAATCCATCAGAATCCTAGAGGAGAACATAGGCAGTAATCTCTTTGATATCTGCCACAGCAACTTCTTGCAAGATATGTCTCCAAAGGCAAAGGAAACAAAAATGAAAATGAATTTTGGGGACTTCATCAAGATCAAAAGATTTTTGCACAGCAAAGGAAACAGTCAACAAAACAAAGAGGCAACCCATGGAATGGGAGAAGACATTCACAAACAACAATGCAGACAAAGGGCTGATATTCAGGATCTATAAAGAACTCCTCAAACTCAACACACACAAAACAGATAATCATGTCAGAAAATGGACAGAAGACATGATCAGACACTTCTCCAATGAAGACATACAAATGGCTATCAGACACATGAAAAAATGTTCATCATCACTAGCCATCAGGGAGATTCAAATTAAAACCACATTGAGATACCACCTTACACCAGTTAGGATGGCCAAAATCAGCAAGACAGGAAATAACATGTGTTGGAGAGGATGTGGAGAAAGGGGAACCCTCATACACTGTTGGTGGGAATGCAAGTTGGTGCAGCCACTTTGGAGAACAGTGTGGAGATTCCTCAAGTAATTAAAAATAGAGCTTCCCTATGACCCTGCAATTGCAATACTGGGTATTTACCCCAAAGATCCGGATGTAGTGGGGTGCATGGGTGGCTTAGTGGTTTAAAGCCTTTGCCTTTTCTCAGGTCATGATCCCGGGGTCCTGGGATCGAGTCCCGCATCGGGCTCTCTACTCACTGGGGAGCCTGTTTCTCTCTCTCTCTCTGCCTGCCTTTCTGCCTACTTGTGATCTCTGTCAAGTATATAAATAAAATATTTTTTAAAAAAGATACAGTTGTAGTGAAAAGAAAGGCCAACTATACCCCAATGTTACCCCAATGTTCATAGCACCAATGGCCACAGTAGCCAAACTGTGGATGAACCAAGAAGCCCTTCAATGGACGAATGGATAAGGAAGATGTGATACATACATACTTTGGAGTATTATGCCTCCATCAGAAAGGATGAATACCCAACTTTTGCATCAACATGGACGGTACTGGAAGAGATTATAATGAGTGAAATAAGTCAAGCACAGAGAGTCAATTATCATGTGATTTT